TATTTGACCCTCAGGATTCTTGAAATTTAAAAGATAAGTCAATGATGCATGATCGGTGCGGAGCAGGAATTTTCTGCCGTATAGATAGTGATGGAACTGTTCTACAGCTTTAACTATGGCGAGCAACTCTTTCCTGGTGACACAATAATTCCTCTCCGGTTTAGACAGGCACATGCTCCAGTACGCAACTACACGTTCTTGGCCGTCTATTTCTTGGGACAAAACAGCACCGACACTTTCATTGCTCGCGTCGGTGTCGAGAATAAATGGTCGGTCGAGCTGAGGATACGTCAGGATTGGAGCAGATGTTAAAGCCTCCTTTAAGTTGTTAAATGCACCCTCGCATTCTTTTGTCCACAAGAACTTTTGGTTGTTCTCTGTCAGCTTGTGAAGGGGTCTTGCGATGGAAGAAAAGTCCTTCACGAATCTCCTATAGAAGGTGCAAAGCCCTAGGAAGCTTCTCAGCTGATCGACATTTTCGGGACGTTTCCAGGATTTAACGGCTGATACCTTTTCAGGATCCGTACGCACACCTTCTGCAGAGATGACATGTCCCAGGTAAGTCACTTCCTTTCGGAACAATTTGCATTTAGCGGGACTCAGCTTCAGATTGGCTTCTTTCAGTTTCTGAAGCATCTTCCTAAGATTTTCTAAATGTTCTTCAAAACTCTTTCCGACGATGATGATGTCGTCCAGGTATATGAGGCAGGCTTCGTAGGAAAGGCCTTTCAAAACAGTTTCCATAAGACGTTCGAATGTTGCCGGCGCATTACACAGTCCAAACGGCATCACCTTGAATTGCCAAAGCCCTTGTCCCGTAGTAAATGCCGTCTTTTCTCGGTCTTCAGGCTGTATTTCTACCTGCCAATACCCACTCTTTAAATCAAGTGTTGAGAACCACTTGCTGCCAGAAAGTCTAGAATGTCGTCAATTCTAGGAAGAGGGTAACTGTCTTTCTTCGTAACCTCATTCAACCGGCGATAGTCGACGCAAAATCTTGTTGAGCCGTCTTTCTTTCTGACTAGGACGATGGGAGATGCCCATGGACTTACTGAAGGCTCGATGACATCGCTTTCTTTCATATCTTTTAACAGTGTTCGCACCTCTTCCTGTTTAGCAAACGGTAGACGTCTTGGATGTTGCTTGATCGGGGGATGATCGCCGGTATCTATTCTATGTTGTGTCAAACTAGTTCGACCCACGTCAGAAGACGAGCGGGAGAAAACAACTTGAAGATCTTTAATGACGCGATCGGCAGCATTCCTCTCTTTATCGTTTAATTGCGCATTCTGCAATAACTCCGATGTAATTCTCTCTGTGAGGACACGGATTCTTGGATGTTACTCTTTCTTTCAACGGTGGTTACTGGAGTACATGCTGCAACCACTTCACCTTTCTTAATAATTCTCCCCTTCTCAGTTACATTGGCGACTCTCACCGGGATAACCGTTCTGGATAGGTCGACGAGTGTTGAGGCTACTAGTACTCTCTTTTGGGCTATTACAGTTATTAGGGATATTCTATTATGCCGTAGCGGAAAATTTCTGTTTTCGGCTATGGATCCAGGAAGTAAAATTTCTGTTCTTGCCGGTATTGTGATATTGTCTTGTGCTATGATTTTATGGACAGATTTAACTTCATCATTGACTCCAAATAACGCTATGTCCTCAGATGTAGAATGCAATTCGTTATTTTTAAAGTCCAAGGAAAAATTGTATTTCCTTAGAAAGTCCAATCCGAGTATGCAAGAATCAGTGATCTCTGCTACATATGCCGTGTGATGGTAAGCGGCACGTCCAAACGTGATGTTAGCATTTACTTTTCCATCGATGTTGATCTTCTCACCGGACACAGTCTGTAGGGTAACGCAGGGCGGCGTCCAGATAAGTTTGCTTCCCAGTTGTTGAGCCAAATCTTTTCGGATGATGGTAACGTTGGCTCCTGCATCGTCATATTGCAGGGAACTCCATTAATATGTCCTATTATGAAAAGTCCATTATTGCCGCCTCTCACTGCAGAAATCTGAAGAGCTTTAAACTGGGGCTTTTCATGATCTGGCAACCTCCGCCCCCGAGATGGCCACTAATTAGTTTCCCTGCTGTTTGTTAGGAGTGGTCTTAGCATCCGTACCCTGGGGTGTTCTGCAGTTTCGTCGGATGTGTCCTTCAGCACCGCAGTTCCAGCACTTTACGGTCGGTTTCTTGTCACCAATATTCTGTCTCAAGGCGTTCAGTTGTCTAGTTAAATCGTCTAGACGAGCAGTGACTTGATCCCCTGGCTCCTGGACTTGAGCAGCTCTGACTGGATGGCGGTCTCGACGGGTGGCTTGCTGGGCTGCCTCAAATTTCATGGCATACACTAAAGCGCTTTTCAGATCTTTAACATCCGCCATTCGCAGTGCTTTCTGTATTTTCAGGGTCCCGGATGCCATCGATGAAATATTGCAGGGACAGGATTTCCCTTGTTTCTGTCTGTCGGGCACTCCGAAAAGGCGTGATGTGACAGCCTTTCAACATCCGTGGCGAGCTCCTGAAGCGTTTCGGTGAGCTTCTGTTGACGAGATTTTAATTGGAGCCTGCTGTAGTCTTTTAAACACTTTTCTCGCCGAAAGCGCAGCTCCAAAGCGCCGGATAGAGCTTCGAAATCTAGCCTTTGATTTTCGGGAAGCGTCTGCAGGATATCCGCTGCGTCTGCTCTCAGAAGAAGCGGCGAGATGACAGGCCTTAGCTTGGGAATCCCATCCATTCGCATCCGCAACGATAGAAAATTGTGTCCTTATACACTGCCAGGAGGTCTTCCCATCATATGTAGATAGTTTCTGCAGAACGGAACGAGCAGGCATCGATAAAAATTTGAAAACCTTCAGAATTGCTTCCTTCTACCGTCGCTATGCACTTCTTTAAAGCTGTCAACTTCTTTGGCGACGGCAGCAGAAACCCTATCATCAATTTGTTGTTCGACGGCAGAAACTCTCTCTTCTATATGTTCTTTTACAGAAGAAATTCTTTCTTCTACTTGTTCTTTTACCGAAGAAACTCTTTCTTCTATTTGTCCAACTTTAGTTTCAACCGCGTCTATTCTGCCTTCCCATAGCCTCAAATTTATTTTCTATTACGCAGGTAATTTCTCTTTTCATTTCGTCCTGACCTGCTTTCATCTCATTTTTAAGAGATTTCATCTCTTCCTTAACGGATTCCTGGCCCAACTTCATTTGTTCCTGTGCCATTTTCATTTCTTCCTTGAGGGATTCCTGGCCCAATTTAATTTCTTCTTTAACGGACCTTTGACCAGCATCCATTTTCTCTTTAATTTCTTCTTTAAAAGATGTTTGGCCAGCTTCCATCTTTTCTTGGAAAGCAGCAAAAGCAGTAATGAGCTGTCTCAATTGTTCTTCCATCCCTCTTGTTATTGGCATTCAAATCCCACTTCTGACACCAAAAATTGTTGCGTGCGTACGGGTTCATTATGAAATGAATGCATAAGTCCGATGAAAAATGAACAAAAATTTATTATTATCGCAACAGAAATGCTTAAATTTTCTCAAATTATCATGTAGTATCACAATATCTCACAGTAGTTATCTTTTAACTACTTAAATGTACAATAGAACGTAATTCAAAACAGCTAAAGAACGCTGATCCGTGAATTCGCTATAATCAACAACGGCAGTTTTCTAAACAACAACAAACTGAGATGTTTTCTTCCTTTTATAAGCTTTTAAAATCACGCGCTAGAATTTTCCAGTACTTTCTCGAAATCAAAAAGAGATATTTATTTATTTAACGCACGCGCTCTTGTATTTTTAATTTTTCCGGCTTAGCTTTCTTTTAATATTCGTCACGCGCTGCACTGCGCGAGAAATAAAACCATTTAATTTATAATTGAACTAACATTAGCTTTTTAAATACCAAATTCGTAACAATACAATGATGTGTGCTAGGATTTAAACTGTATAATTTGAACGTTTTAGGTAATTCGTTTGATAATTTTCATGAAAAGTAAGACACCAATTGTTACTATTTTTATGAATTTTAAAAGTGTTACATAAAGTAATGCTTTTCTTTATGTATTAATTATTATTCATTTTAAAGTTTTAAACTGTTAAGAATATAATTTGTGCATTTGATGAAGAAAAATTAACTTTTCTGTCCTTAAAATGCTTTTGCATAAATTTACAAATTTGTGGGCAGTATAGCGATAAAAGTAAGTAAAATATTTACACAACTGAACATGTGGAAAGATGTATCCAAAAATATAGGTATATTTCTCTAATTTAGCTTAATTCAAGGCAATTTCTTTGAGATTCATAAATATGAAACGTGCATAAACCGAAATCACTTAATTCACATAAATCTGTTTTATTTTATTAATATTTATTTTCTTGTTGTTATAAGGGTGTTAGTTGTGAAAAGAATCTAAAACTTTCATTTGAAAAATGCAACATGTGACTATTTTTTTTTAGATAATTATCTGCTATTAATTTCAGGTTAAATATATTTTAAATGATTCTTTAATAAATTTCAATATTGTGAATAAATCAGAAATATTACTTCTTAAAGGCAAAACTGGAAAGTACATCCAATAGGTTGCTAATAAAACCTAAACTAATTCTATTTTTAAAGGCCTTTAAGGTTATGCACATGCATTTAGATTTCGAACTATTTCTTAATGATTTTTTGTACGTAGTAAATTACGGATATCATCTTTATAACTTTGAAACAAAAAACTTTAACAATAGCGAAGCATTTCATTATAAATTTTAAAATATTTTTACTGGAAAATACATGCACGTAACAGCTTAGAAACATGTACTACGTTTCACTGCCGTAATGCAATGTTTTGACAGTTACAAACATGGACGCCGCTTGTTCGGGAGTTTCATTCCCCGATAGTGGAGGAAACTGCAAACCCGCCCTCTTTATATTCTAATCTCCTTGGTTTTTAAAGGTTGCATGAGCGTGTACTTCCGCTGCCACTAGATTCAAATATCTGCAAAAGTAGTCTCAATCTCTGTGAACAGTCGTCATCTGAAATCATTGAAAATAAATAGACAGCAAATTCAGAATCTGTTTGACAAGAATTTTTGATTGCAGCTAGCTTTTGTCACTTAGACACTGCGTTTCGCTATTTTAGCCTCTCTTAAGGGGCAAAAAAATCCTCTACCTTTTTATCTCCATCATCGTTGGTTAGGAACCAAGATCAGTAAAATACTTATGATATTTTAGAAACCTTGGTTATGAGCCTCTGATAATCGCGAAATTTGAAACATTAGCGCAATTTTACAAGCGTAGTGAAGGGAAAGACCGGGTACCTCGCTCTGACTTGAAGTTGAACCGGAGCAGTTGAAGAAACAGCGCTGAATGGTTTAACTTTAGTTTTTTCAAAATTTTCAACGAACGTATAAAATGAGTATGCATGATTACATTTTCAAGCAGTCATATAATGAAAGCACATTAAAAAGCTTAAAATGAATAAACTGACATAGTGCGCAGTTAAAATTAAATTTTCGTTACTTACTACTAAAATCAGTTTTAATGTTAATGGGCTATATAAGTCTTAACACTTTTTTCCTAATTTAGATTGATAATGTTTACGTGGCTTCTGACCTGCATCAGGCATTAAAAGTAGTAAAATTGCCTTCCTGTATTATCTGCTGGTTCACGCCTTGTATTTGATGGGTAAGTTTGGTGTTTAATTATATTATAGATGAATGTATGCCGAAAATGCTGAGTTTCTTACTCTTGGGAGAAAACATAACCTACCGCGTAGATAAATATTCATCTTTTTAGTCGTATAGGAGAAGGTAATTTCACGTGTAATATTTTATGGTGCTGTTGTAGCATTTCAAAGTGCAATTGTTGTATATAAATATAAATATGAGAGATACATTTTAATAGTGTTCAGATATTGATGACTATCTAAGTAATTCTCAAATATTTGACTTTTATATGTTGAATATTAATATTGATGAATAATTTTGTGTAACTTTTTCCAGAATATTATCAACTATATCAAAAGCTAGAGATTTATTAAAATCTACCTGTTTAAATTATAAATGTGATTTTTTTTTTTAAATTATGTTAATTTATTGTTTATCAAAACATAGATTTAAATAACCTTTTTAAGGGTTACCCGAGAAATTAAGCTGTGTTTATGATCAGCAGGTGTATTTTTGTCTGTTTTAAAGGACATTAAATCAATTCATAAATCCTACACCTAGTATGGTTTTTCCCAAGCGTAATATTAATATGAGTGAGTTTTTTTGGGGAAAGTGCAGAATCACCCACTGCTTGGTGCATTTTAAGAATTGTACATATTTGGTATCCTTGTACACATCAACCTATTTTCACTTTAGAAAACATTCCAGAATAGCACAAAAATGGCATTGTGCACTCCCTTCACTTTATCCATGTACACATTGACCTATTTTCACTTAAGAAGTCAAAGAAAATTGACAAAAATGCAATTCTTCTTACTCTTGTAAAAAGCGCCAAACAAATAAGTGGACTATTCTGCACTTTAGCCAGTTTTTTTAAAAAACAACCTGCATGAAAGTGTTCTTGCCATTTAGCAGATAGCCATTCATTGAGTGCTTTGGATTCTGGTTACAGAATTAGGAATCGGAAATGATACAGATATATTGTTGAATATCGTAAACTTTTAATTCCTTGCCAATGCTCAATTTTTTCTCCTCATATACCATATATAAAATTGTATAATATGTATGATATATATAAACCATGCAGTTTAAAAAGCTTTAGTGAAAATTTCCCCATTTATCAAAAATGGCTGTCATATCTTCTTTGGTACCATTTTGTTATATTTTTTATGAAATAATTTACTGTGATGGAATGTTTGTATTTAAAGCTAGAAATTTTAAGTATGTATATAGAAACCTTCAAAAACTAATGCTTATCTAGGAAGCTGAATTATATTTGGAATTTTATTATTCTTAAGAGTTAATTATCTAATTAGATGTTTTATATCGATAGAAATGAAAATAAATTTATAATGAAAGTAATCTAATTAATGAAAGTAAATTATTGGTGAAATCAGTAAACTAATATTCAACAAAACTGAAATCAGAATATTTAGAATATTGTTAAATTTCTGAATCTATTATCAGAGTGTCATGCCCACAAAGTAATCATGATTAATGCCTTCTGTATTAGAAATTAATGAGGCGACTGCATAACTGTTGATTGTTTATATTATACTTTGTGTAAGGAGAAATTAACAGCATGTGTTGTTACTTGACTGCAGCAGGATTGTGGCATGTTGGAAACTGCGGTCTATCTTTCGGTGTCATTGCTGCTTGTGTTGATCAGGATCCCATGACTGTCTGGCAGATTTTCAATTGGTGTGTCCAGGAGAGTAGTACTGAATGCCATGCAGTATCTAGCTGGCCTGAACACCCTGGAGGACAAACATGTTATCCTTGCAAATGGTACAGCCATGTCGTATAGCCCGAGTCAGGAACTTAGCTGGTATGCATGTTGAAAATTACCTGCATGGGTATGTGGTGGTGTGTGCAGCAACATAGATGTCAGCATGGTGACCATTATATTGACTTCACTTAATGTAGTAGAATAGAAATGGGATGACTTCACTTAATGCAGTAGAATAGTAGAGGTGGTGCGAACAATGATGATGGACATCAAAGTAATTACTTTTCTTTTTAGAAGTAAAACAACAAAAATCAGCATTATAGTATTTGCAAATTTCCACAGGACTAGTTTCAGTGGTTTTACTGAACCGTCATCCTCAGTTGCCAAAGTGGGAAAAAAAAAAAAAATATGGTTGATCTTTGGATTATGGTAACTTGGCGATTTTGTGGCAAAAATTTGACAACCAACTCTGCTACAGCAACCCCCTATTTTTTTTTCGCCGCCATTTTGTCTTCACGAAGTAAAGACATGTTTCTTTTCTTTTTATTTACTCAACACTTTTTCCAACAATCTGCTAGCCGAATTACACTTATGCTAGAAATTTTATGGAACAAAACTGCTTAATCATGACAAATATTAACTGCAAAATTGGGAAAAAGTGCAGAATCGCAAACTCCTTGCCACGTTTTTCAAAATCGCACATACACAGTAACCATGTACACGTCGACTTATTTTTACTTAAAAAAACATCCCAGAATTGCACAAAAATGGCATTGCGCACACTCTTGACTTTATCCATCTACACTGCTATTTTCTCATAAATTACAAAAATTTGCACGAAAATGCAGGAAAATTTTCTGAATCTTTAAACTCTGTAAAAAGCACATATATGAAATTACCTGATCGCGAAAAAGTATATACCCTATCCAAGGATGAACATTTCCACGTATAATATAAATAAAATATCCAAAAACTTTTACCTCTAAATTATCTATTATAAACGTCACCAACGAATTCATAACAAAACATTAAAAATGGTTACAAATACTTAGTGTCAAATATTTAAATTATTTCCATGCACGTTTACTTCCACTGAAACGTATACCAAATTGCTACAAACATATAATTCACAAAATAACTATCATTTAATTAAAATATAATTAAACCATGTACACGTCGACTTATTTTTACTTAAAAAAACATCCCAGAATTGCACAAAAATGGCATTGCGCACACTCTTCACTATATCCATGTACACTGCTTTTTTCTCATAAATTAGAAAAATTTCACTAAAATGCATGAAAATTTTGTGAATCTTTAAATTCGGTAAAAAGGACATATATGAAATTACCTGATCGCGAAAAAGTATATACCCTTTCCAAGGATGGACATTTGCACATATAAAATAAATAAAATATCCAAAAACTTTTACCTCTAAATTATCTATTATAAACGTCACCAAAAATGCAAACATTAAACCAAATACTTAGTGTCAAATACTTAAATTCTTTCCATGCACATTTACTTCTACTCAAACGTATTCCAAATACTACAAACATATAACTCACAAAATCACGATCATTAAATTAAAATATAATTAAATTAAAAAACACTACTTAAAATATAAATAAGCACATACATTAAATTAATAAAAATTAGCTTACAATCCTAATTACTTTAAACTAAATCATTGCTAATAACAATTTTCCAATAATACCATATTAATTTATTTACTCCTTACATTTAGAACAATGCATAAAAATAATATCCTCAAATAATTAAAAATACTAACTTACCTAATCTTCTACAGAATCTTGAGTGCATGGCGGATCACAAAATGTCCATTTTCACCAGGTTTCTTGCACCGCCATTCAAACTTATCTGTAATATCCTTCCTTTCACACAATCTCATTTCATTCCCACATATTGAACATTCATACTTATCCGCAATTAAGCAATTCTTTTCAATTACACATAAATGTAATAAAAATTTCGGATTTACTTTATATAGGGCCATGAGATCCAAATATTAAACAACACTGTTTCACAGAACATAAAATGAAACTAATGCTATAAAGTACAGCAGATATTTTTAAAAATTACCCCCTTTTCCGATTAAAGAACAGTGATTCGTCCATTAATGTCACATGACATATCTCATGATCTCTCATTTCCCTCACACACAATAATGCGTAATCGGAACTGAGTACTTCTCGCATTATTCCCAAAGTCCTAGGTAGTAACCTTTATCGCCTCCAAAATGTCGCCAAACTACCTGTTACCATATTCCAAAAGATCAGCCAAAAAAATAAATATCGCACTTTGGCAGCTGAGAGTGATGGTACAGTAAAACCATCGAAACTAGCCCTGTGAAAATGTGCAAATATAACGCTGATTTTTGTTGTTTGACTTCTAAATTAATATCTGTATGCCATGTTATTTTACCTTTTAACTGTCAAGTTATTCTGATGTCTTGGGTGCATAAATTGTCAATTTTTTTTTATTCCAAGGTTTGATTCGCAATCAAAATATTTAAAAAAATGCTGCGCACTTTGAACTTTAACCTCTATCCTTTGAAACCTTCAGTAAAGTGCTGCCATCTGTTGAATTGAAGCCGAAATAAACTTCTCACGATATATATTTGGGTATAACAATACGATGCACTAAAAAAAAATTAGCCCGAGTAATATTCGGATGTGACATCTTGGAATACCGGTACTGTGCCCAAGATTATTTTGGGCATGACAGTTAAAAAGTTAATTATAGGTACTTTTCCTTAATTTGTCCATAACATTGTAAAACCATAAGAATAAATAATATTATATAATAAGGCTTAATATTTGATAATAAGACAATAAGAAAAATAAATTTAATTGTAAAGGGGGTTGAAGGGACATTACTCATGTCAATTAATGTGTATTCAATTGGTAACTGTTTGCCTATTGCTTCTATAATAGAATCAAAATAATTCCTCACACTTGCTTCTTTCTCCAAATAAATTGTGACAGGTAAGATGTGAGATGTTACCTTATGGTACCAAACAACGGGAAACTGAAAAAGAGAATTTCGAAAATAAAAATGACCTCTAAAACATAATGAGATATGATTGCCAGATTTGAGGGTGGATAAAGGAAAAATACCTCAAAGTAGCACCTCTTCATCTCTTTAGACAAATCTCGGTTCTACATACAACATCATGATGTATATTTTGTGTATGGAAATGTTGAGGGAATAAGTATTACCAGTTTGCATTTGCTATTTTCATAGAGGCCCAGCACCTGGCATGGGTT